CATGTGTGCTCATCTCATAAATACAATCATTCCGTCATGACATGAGCACATGAGGAGGTGGACCCTCTGCCACAGGGGATATGGGCGAGCACGGCATTTATTAAGCATTTCAACCCAACGACCGCAAAGAAATTCCTCATGGCATTGTGACGACACAGCATGATGTCCATTCCATCAGAGGAAAAGCTGCCCATGTTCTGAATCAATAATTCATATTGTTACATGTGTGTGAGGAACAGTGGAAGAAAGGGTGAACAAAAGAGAACAGGTCTGACTAAAGTGTAGTCTCGCCTTTGGCATCCTGCAGGTACAAAGAAATGTTTCAATTAAATGAAATATTGGAAAATGAAATTAAGTCTTGCTAAAAACCGGAAGAGAGACAGAAAGCCAATCAGCGGATGAATCCTAAAAAATGTAAGCGCAGAAGATTCTGACCAGATATTGTACTATGTAGCACTGCTTTTTAACTAAATCCAGAACTCTGAGTGCATAAAACTCACATCAGCAGTAAGATTATGGCTGTGAGCTCAGCATAAAGAAACTGAGGCAATCTGATTCGAAAAATAAAAATGCCATTTAATTAAAGGAATAGTTTAAAAAAAGTATATAATTATAAATATATCCACGCCGAATTGAGGCAGTAATTAAAGCAAAAGGAACCCCTACCAAGTATTGAGTACATGTACTGTAAATGAACATACTTTCCAGAAGGCCAACAATTCACTAAAAATGTTTTTTTATTGGTCTTATGAAGTATTCTAACTTGTTGAGATAGTGAATTGGTGGGTTTTTGTTAAATGTGAGCCAAAATCATCACAATTAAAATAACCAAAGACTGAAACTACTTCAGTCTGTGTGCATTGAATTTATTTAATACACGAGTTTCACAATTTGAGTTGAATTACTGAAATAAATGAACTTTTCCACGACATTCTAATTTATTGAGATGCACCTGTTTACACTTACTACAATTCATAGTTTTGAATTGGTCAATAAGATTTCTTGTGTTATAAGTCTCTTGTGCTCACCAAGGCTGCATTTATTTGATCAAAAATACAGTAAAACTGTGATACTGTGAAAATATTGTGAAATATATACAATTTAAAATAACTATTTTGTATTTTAATATATTTTAAAATGTATTTTATTCCTGTGATGCAAAGCTGAATTTTCTGCATCATTACTCAAGTCTATAGTGTCACATGATCCTTCAGAAATCATTCTGGTATGCTAATAAAATAAAACATTGTTTTATTATCAGTGTTGAATCAGTTATGCTGATTAATATTTTTGTGAAAACATTTTTTTTTTCAGGATTCCTTGAATAGAAAGTTCAGAACAACAGCATTTATTCGAAATATTTTGTAACATTATAAATTGTCACTTTTAATGAATTTAATGCATCCTTGCTAAATAAAAGTATTAATTTCTTTAAAAAAAACTGACTTCTGCCAAAACTTTTGAACTGTAGTGTATGAACTGGCACATTATGCTTAGTTATGTCAATGACATCAAGCTTGCTGTTAAAATAAAAATGCATTGAGCATTTTGCTTTTATCTGAATGCAATCACATTTAATTTTAAAGGTGACATATCATGAAAATCTGACTTTTCCAGGTTTTAACTGCTACAATCAGGTCCCCAGTGCATCTACCAACCAAGGAAACGTGAAAAAGATTAACCCAGTAACTTTGTTTTGGGAAGCATTTTTCTGCAAGCGTCTGAAAAAATGAGCGCATCTGATTTCACTCCCCTAGTGACGAGGCAAAGGGATCTCATTATAATATTACCGCCCCTTAATCTGTAAGTTTCCACCCACAGCGCCGTCATTGTGTTTTCGCAAGCGACAACGGTGTATTAGATCAAATGCCATGGCGAAAGTTTGAGCAAAACATGCTAACTGTTCTGTCTTTGTCGGCACAGACGAGCACAGAACACTATTTAGATCTAAAATAAACATGCAATTTATTTCCCAGCTGTTTACCTTCACAGACATAACCGACTGTTTTTGTAACTCATGTGTGTTTTTAATGTAAACTTGTGTGTGAATGAGAACTTAGTTTAGTACTCGCATGCTGTGACAGCCGCTTTCTGTCCGTGTGCTTCAGATGTGTGCACTCAGAAAACCGTATATCAGAAGTTTAAACTAATATGGTTTAAACCGCATGATTTCAGCACGATAAACATGACAATCAGAATCATAACAGATATTTTTAGCAGGTACGAGCTGTAATGGCGCAGCTCTATTCTGGAAAAGGGGGCGGGGAGCAGCAGCTCATTTGCATGTAAAGAGACAGGCCCGAAAATTAGCGTGTTTCTGCTTCCACTCAAAATAGGCTTTTTTAAAATTATATAATAAATGATCTGTGGAGTATTTTGAGCTGAAACTTCACAGACACATTCTGGGTACACCAGAGACTTATATTACATATTGTAAAAAGGGGCATAATATGTAGTGGAGTAGAACATACTCAACTTAAATATTTCAGTCTTCAAGCTATCATATGATTTTCATAAGACTCTCAACATAGTGTATGAACTGTATGGACTAATTGTCAGGTATTTTTGTCCTTTCGGAGCTTGATAGCTGTATTCAACATTGTTGTACAGAAAAACATCTGTGAAGATTCTTCAAAATTACAGCATGCAGGTTCATGAAACAACATGAGGATGAGCAAATAATAACACAATTGTCATTTGTTGGTAACTATTCCTTTAAAAGCATATTCCTTTAGTGAATGCTGATGAAGACATCTGCATAATCCACTAATGCCTCGTTTCAAAATCTTTGCCCAGTCACATGCTGTTAGTTAGCTCAGAGCAATATGCTCTGCCATCCCAAATAAAGGGAATTTTATTCATTAATGTGACTAATTTTCTCATGTGACTATATATCTTGCCACATCACAGTAATTCATTTAGCCTGGAACTATATTCATAATAATAGCCAGTGTCGGGTATTGTCAAGTTGGGTCTTTGTCCAGATGTAATTTCTAACAGTATGTGCAATGAAATTTAATTTAACTATTACTATTAACAGTATTATTTATTTAAGGCCGAAAATAAACATTTTGTCATCATTTACTCATCCTCAAGTGGTTCCAAAGCTGTATTATATTCTTCTTGGCTGTTGAAAAAAGACCTTCGAAATGTTCAGGCTGCTTTTACAACACAATTAAAGTGAATGGGGACTTAGACCGCCAAAGAAAATACAGTAAAAGCACCACACAAGTAGTCCATAAAAGTCTTATGAAGTCATAAGGTAGAACAGATCTCACCCTGAGTTGGAGAATTTTAGCATTATATCACTCGCTCACCAATGGATCCTCTGCAGTGAATGGGTGCCGTCAGAATGAGAGTCCAAACAGCTGATAAAAACATCACAATAATCCACAAGTACCCTTACCAAAAAGTAGTATACTTCCAAGTTTATTTTAGTAAGTATACTTAAGTAAAGTTCAAGTATATTTTTAAGTATACTTTATGTAGTTAGTATACACATATCAGTGTACTAGTAGTATACTTGTAAGTGTACTATTTCAATACTCCTTGGGAGTAAATTGGCCCACTTTCTAGTATACTTGTAAGTATACTTTAAGTATAACAGTAGTAAACTTTGAGTACACAACTAGTTTACATCAAAATGTTTAGTTTGTACTGCAACTATACTAAAAGTTAACTTATAGGTAAACTTGTAGTAGCATTTTTAGTACACTTTGAAGTATAATCTCAGTAAACTACTAGTTTAGTAGTTTTATACTGCAAGTATACTCGTAAGTTTTCTTTAAGTGAACTTTACATTATACTTTAAGTATACTACTATGTCCCTATTTAGGTATTAATTTGTATATATTTTGTTACATGAATATCTGAACATACAAAACGTCAGAAGAACAGGGTATCTGCTTTTTTTAAACACTTAAATGTGGAGGATTTCGCCACACAAAGAACCACTACTGCAGTGGTGATTTGCTTACAAACGCAAATTGCAATTACCAACCAAAATTAAACCAAAGCTTTAAGTTCTTGTTTATTAATTTGTCTTCAATTAATTCTGACGCCCAAGGCAACACAAAAAAACAACAACAACAAATAGACTGCATCAGTGAGCATTAGCTAATTTCAAACATATAACTCCAACCACACAGACTGACGCTTTCTGAATTTTCTTTCAATTAATTTGTTTGAGGGCATCTTAGCGAATAGCTTCTGACCGTTGCTTAGTTGCTGAGTTCTGAGTTGCTTAAAGCCAAATCATTTTTGTGTTAATTTTTGATGTTAAAACACTTTGTATATCATTTTAATGTGCAGGAACGATTATAAGTAAACCATGAGTTAGATGACTTTTCTCTGTGGTGGTTTTAAAACTTTGCTCTGTTTGTTTGGGTGTTTTGATATGTCAACTTCTGGCTCAACTAATAGTGTGAATGGGGGTAGGGTTTTAAGGGAAATTTTACATGCAATTTTGTTTTGTGCACTAGGGTTGAGAGTTACACATATATGAGGTGTATTAGGCAGCAGAGCATCAAATACAAACACTATTTTAGTAAACATTTATAAAGTTTAACTCTCTGGAGAGTAAACAAACAGATCTGGTCTAAAATTAGAGATCTTTTCCTAAACATTTTAGGGCAAAATGGTAGAGTCAGGGTAAATGTAAATTTAAATAATCAGAAATCTAAATAAAATAGTTTAAATAAAAAAATAAATATTTATGATACTGTTTTATGTATAATATTATAGGAACTTGACTACCTTACTGTTTGTATATGCTATGTATTTTATTATTAGATTTTATTAGATCCAAGACCTTATTAGATTCTCATGTCATTATCTAACTTCTGTTGCACTACAACACATATATATATATATATATACCCTGTTCATCTGGGGTGTCTTGCCTTAAGTAATCCATTGATCATTTTTATATAATATTAACCCTCAAAAGTGGGTTCACAGTGATAACACAGAAACAGCAGGACGGCACGTGTGTGACTCACCCATTTCAGGATGGTGCCTCCCCTCCACAGGCACACTGACCGTCCGTCGCAGCAGCTTGTTCCTGTGCGTCTCCGAGCGCTGCTCGCGTATCAACAAAGGGTGAACCTGTGGGAGAGCAGAGATAAAGGTCAATGCAAAGAGCATGGGGTCAATACGGCAAGCTGCAGGGCTCTGCGCTAAACCGGTCGGAAACCTCCACTATTAAAACAGCAAGTCCCGCTGAGACGAGACTCCTTGAAATAATAAAGCAATGGTGTGTGTGCTTGGGGTGAAGGGAGAAAATAATTGCAAACTTGTGTGTGTAATGTGTTTATTTAAGCCTCGGTATGGGGCTGCATCTTACGGGATTTTTTCTTAATGCAGGCGAGCGCTCATTCATCTCTGTGCAGCAAGCAGATGGAGGAAGACATCTCAGCGCAGGTTTGCCTTCAAATTGCACAGGGCTTGTTTAGCAGTGTGGGTGTCTCTCCTGTGTTCACCAGCACTATCCGGAGGGAGATACGATCGGGATATCGAGAGCAGGGCTGTGAACGAGGCGATTACCTACAGTCTGGGGTGATAAATGAGCGGGGCAAGAGAGGATCAGACACTGAGCCCTATGGGAAGCAGCTAAAATGTTTCAGGGGTGGCCTTGTCACTTGGTTGAAGTCACATGACCCGGCTGCATTTTCTGGTTTTATGCACAGCTCAGCTTTTCAGATTCACATTTCAGATTTATTACAATATGACATTAAGACAATATTGTGCGCTCTGCCTGAAGATGCATTGGTGTGGTTTGTCTTTATAGTTTTAAAAATGATAGATGTCTGTGTTATGCTTTCTGTTATGGCAAAGCAAGCTCAATATTATCTTTCAATGTCTTTAAAATAGATCTACAGCAACCTGCAATGAAATCACAGAAAGGATCAGTGCATAAAAAATGCATAACATCCAATGAATCCTTCATGACTTACTAGAAAGCATGCAAGATCGCTGTTTATGCCCTTTTATGTGAACAATTATCTATGCAGATATATTTTAAGGATAAACTCAGTGCACACCATCAACAATGTGTCAGTTTGCATAGTATGTGAGGCAGTTGTTTTTTTGACTAAATGTAAATGATTAGGCTTACAGTAATATCAGAGTATTTGTCTGCTAAAGACAAATGCCACCATATCCACGACACCAGAAGAAGCATGTTTAACACAAAGTAACTGTCACTTTAAAGTATGCACTGGGTCTAAGACATTTCTCATAAAATTGCATATAGGAGAACAAAGCGAATGCAGGTATTATAGTTCAGATAATGGACTTTTTTTTTTTTACACAATTTTAGGTTTGGAACATGGAGGTAAAGAAAAGCAGGTTAAACTTCTTTAGGGGTGCATTGGAGAGCACAGCAAATCCATTACAAAATACACTATTGTGTTTCAACAACTTTCCAAAAGAGGAATAAAATATAGAGAAATGGATTAAAGCAGTCAAATGCATATGCATCAAGAAAGGGAATGTAAAAATATTTGTTATCGGACATTAAATGTACACTTTAAATCGGCTATGTAATTCAAATATTACATATATAACACAAGTAAAATTTTTATGAGTACAGTAACATTTTTATTTTAACATTTATATTTTAAATGTAACATTTACATTTTAAAATGTTTAACATTTTCTTTACTGTCTTATATTTTTAGTTATATTTATATACTTATTCATATATTTATATATTTTTTCACTTTCATTTTTTGTATTTTTTAAATATTTTGTAAAATGTACAAAACACAACAAGTATATAAATATAGCTATAAATATATAAAAATATTGCTGGAAATATGTATGGAAAAACTATGTTGAATTTGAAAATATCTTATATCTTATATGTTGAATTTGAAAATATCTCTATATGTTATGGGATGTGACTTTTCCAATCAATTAATAAATAAATAAAACACTTTTAAACTATTGGTACAGCATAATGTAGTATAGCCTACATTCATACATTTATATTTGTTTTTATATCCTTTAATTTGCATTATGCTTGGAGAAGAACATTTGGCAGGATGTGAAAGAACTTTTTTTATTCAATAAAAATTACATTTGGCTTTTTTTTTAACATGCTGTGCTGTCTAGAATATTACATATATCTTGTTTCTGATTTTTCTTTCCTCTAACTCATGATTCACTGCCACAGCATGTAAGGTCATATCTGCTCACTGCAAATAATCTAATACACTCTTGGACATATTAAGGCAGCCAGAAAATGTGGCCTGTCGCCATCATGCTATCTGAAACTGAACCCATTAGACCCACATACAGTACGCATCTGGAACTGTGGGACACAGGTGAGTGGCTGCCTGTAGAAGGAGTTCAGCTGGGCGACTGTGTAGACTGGGCAGCAATTACCTGGTTCAATGTTATCTGGCACACATCACAGAAGAGTAACTGAAAAAAACAGAGTCAGAGACCAGGTGGAGATGGACCCGCTACGGGTCCACAATCAGCGTCTCAGAGGAGAGGAGCCTCAGTATTTTTTGCCTATGAGACGAGCAGTCACTAGATATAGAGTGCAAAAGTGTTCCCCCAATTTTCATCCGCCTTAGTTCTGGTACTATTTTTTACATTCATTTTTACCATATGGATACTAAAAAAAAATAAGTCTTTGTTCAAAAGTTATAAACCATGAACCAAACCAACCAGCTACGTGGAGAGTCACAACACTACAAACATTTATTTGAAGCAATTTGAAAACCAGGTAAAAAGACAAAGGTACAAGACAAAGAAAGAACTACAATCCCATGAAGCACTGCAAATGACAAAACCAAAATGAAAACAATAGAAAAATATAAAACTACTGATCGATATTAAAACAAATATATTAAAACAACTGAAAGTTAATTATATCTTACATATCATATAGAAACAATTTTATATATATATATATATATATATATATATATATATATGTATATATATATATATATATTGTGTTAAGTAATTTTCTTTCAGAATTTTGATTTTGTTTTTTTTAAAGATGTTTTAAGAAAAAAAATTATGAAAGTCTTTTTTTTTACAGTTTACATATTGAATTTTGAGTTTACATTTCTTAATTCTGTTTTTTTGTTTGTTTTGTTCCCTCCACAGAATAAAAATGTAAATAAAATGTAATTGTGACTTTTTATCTCACAATTCAGACTCAATTGCTTTTATATCTATTTTATATTTTTATTATTCTCAGAAAAAAAGTCAGAATTGTGAGACATAAACTCAGAATTACCACAGATTTAGTAAGAATTAGTTAGAATTACTTTTTTAATTTTTTTTAGTCCATGGCGAAAATGGACTTCCATAGATTTTTTTCTTCTGGAACCCGACTGTTGCACTTTATAAAATGTACACAGTATTCAAAACAGGAAACATTTGGGGCGGGACTATCTCTTAGTCTAACCAATAGCAGATAGGGGGCATCGTACAGTGATTATGTGTTGGTGACACAAATTTCACGTTTAAAAAGTTCAACTTTGGGACCTGTCTCAGGACTTCTGTATTTAGCATTTAGAGTCTAGTAAGTAAGTAAGTAAGTAAGTAAGTAAGTAAGTTTTATTTATAGAGCACATTTAAAATTCAGCGTTACACTGACCAAAGTGCTGAACAAAACCAATAATAAAATACAGCAAATTCGTAAAAGCTCCATCCTGGATCTGCCCCGCGAACACCACGATAGTACAGCAGAACAGCTGAGCTAAAGAGAAGAAGGATGAGATCTGTCTGCTTCTATCAACATCACATCACTGTCAGATTCCAGCTGCTCTGGTAATAAATGACACAGGATGATTTTCACTGAAGACACCAGCTATGGGTTATATCCTGATCCTGACAACACCGTACCTGACATATATTATATCCTGTTACATTTTTACTGTGCAATCACTGAATTATGGATGGAAAATACAGTTAAATGTGGCAGTTGAAAGATACAGATAGATGGATGTACGGCTTTCTCACCACAAATATATGGAAATTAATTCTCCAGCTACAACAAAATGGCAGCGACAACTGTCTGATCTGCTAACAAAACCTGTCCTGTTTCAGCAGCTCTACTTACTTTTTATGACATAAAAGTGTGGAAAAAGTCCAAAAATCCAAACTACATGATGTCATGACAGCTTGTTTTGAATAGTGATAAATGAAATGACAAAATAGACATGTTAAGACCTTTGTTAGTGCCTTCAACAGCTTCAAGAGGTTACAATTAATATTTCTTTAATTTTTGTAGCTTTGAGGCTAATATTTATATGCTGGGGCTCTCCTAAAAGTTGATAAAATAAACTTCAAAACAATAAACATTAAAAATCCCATTTATTTTCTCTATAAGGGAACTTCTGATTGTTTGCAATTATTTCACCTTATTTTTTGAATAATTGTTTAACAGTAGGATTCCTAATGAAAAACTACATTTCCCATAATTCCCCAATCAGAGAATTTAAACTACTAATTATATGTTTGAATGCATGTGAATATTTTGCAATACACATAAAATATGTTGTGTTGATATAATCAACATCTTTAAGTCAAAAGAGTTTTTTTTCATTTATTTAATTATTATGAATTAATAATTTTTAAGTCCTATATATTATAAAGAAAATTAATTGGATGACCGTTGTTAACTAAAATTAAAACTAAACCTATTAAAAATATTTTTTGTTAATCAGAAAGATGAGCTTTGTAAAAATCGACGCGTTTCAGAAAGGCGGGGCATAGAGGAGAAACAATAATGTACAGTATGTGGAAAATAATGTGTTTTTTGAACCTTAAACCGCATAAACACATTTCATTACACCAAATACACAAAATAATGTTCTTTTTAGCAGCATCATTTGACCCCCTTTAATATTTTTGTAGAAACCTTGACATTACTATTTTTTCAGGATTCTTTAATGAAAATAATGCTCAAAAGAACAGCATTTATATATATATATATATATTTTTTTTTTTTTTTACTTTTTTTTTTTATACCAATCAGAGAATTAAAACTACTACTTAGATGTTTGTATAAAATGTGATTTTTTTTTTTGCATAAGCTTCAAATATGTTGCTGTTTAAAGATGTTTCAACATCTCAAA